CCAGAGCTAAAGCCGTCCACACAGTGACCAGAGCTAAAGCCATTCACAGAATGACCAGAGCTAAAGCCATTCACAGTGTGTCCAGAGCTAAAGCCGTCCACAGAGTGACCAGAGCTAAAGCCCTTGCTTTCAAGAATTGTTTTTTGCTATGCATCTTCTAGCAGGCGTATTTACCTCAGAATGTGATCAACAGTGAAGTCCATCTTATGGTCTCTCAGGTAATACCACTAATAGGTACCCCTTTTCCTGGGTGACTCGTGGTTCAAATTCCTGAGTGAAAATGTGCCCTGGGATGAGAAGGGGAACTGGATAAAGATCCAGCCCCTGGTTGACAGGCCTTCCACCCAGCCGATCAGTGGGCCACATAACACCAGTCATGATCACCAATAGCCGCCTCTTGGTAGTGGGCTCCGGTTGATAGATACTGACCATGTCTAGAAACAAGGAGCAAATGTGAAACGTGACATGAACTTTATTCTAATTCTGAATAAATAATTCAGTGGGTCAACTTGGAAAATGGCTCATTTTTCTTCAAAATGAACTTCTTATTGATTCTTTATGGATTTCACAACATCCATCTTGATACCACTCATCTCCCTGCCCCTTCCCATCCGCCTTCTACCCTTTGCAGGAGCTGTAGTGTGACACAGGATGATATGGACGAAAGGACCGTGTGACTCCCTGTGTCACACTACAGCTCCCGTAAAGAGATTTTTCTTTTCTCTCTCTCTCTTTTTTTTTTTTTAAAAAAAATTTATCTTGTTTCATCCTAGGGGAGAATCTATCTACAAGGGTAGAGGGCATTGATGATGTAGCAAGCGTTCATGGCACTGAGTTGTTGATCTGGTCTGAGGTCTCTGGGTTTTGCTACATCATCAATGCTGGCTCCTCACTGGAGCTCCTCATGGATATCCTGTTGTTGTCCTGTGTCACAGAGATCTTTGGGTCTGCAGAACCAGCCCTTCACACGATCCAGCAGATCATAGATGAGGTGGATGATGGGATGGACCAACGTATAGCTCTGGGTTGGGTCTGGGTGGTTGCTGGGTTGGTCGGTCCTCCAGTTCTCCCCTGTCCTCACCTCCAGGGTGAGTTGTCCAGCGTTGCCCCCGTTGATTCACCTCTCTCAGCAATGAGTCGGGAGTGGAACCATTTTCTTGCTTTCATGCCCTCAGGGTTGGCTCTCCCACCCTTGCACCATCAGGGCCAGCTCTATTGTGTTGCTTAGAAGGTATAGCGACCACTCTCCAGTGGTGCAGCTGGTGAGGGGCTGGGACAGCCCTTCTGCTTTTCTGGCCCCATGGCCAGCTCCTCCACCTGTCTCAAGCATTGATGGGCGAGGGATTGGAGGGGAAGGCATCTTTCCTCTACCCATGCCACCACAAGACAGATGAATAATGGGGACAGTTCATAAGAGCAAGAGAGCTGTAGCACTCTGGAGAGCAGCTCACCAGGGCAGCAGAAGAGCCAACCCTGTCAGCAGAGGTATGGGTGAGCCAGCAAGAGCATTTTCTAGTGTTTGAATTATTAGAACCTTCTAAAAATTTTACGAATTCATAGTACCTTTACCAAAAATGAAAGAAGAGAAACAGGCTTTCACTCCTTCTATTGAAAAAAAAAAACACCCCAAACCCACACCCCACCTCAGATTTATTTGCTGTGTATACAGTGTTCTGTCTGGATGTATGCCTGCAGGCCAGAAAGGGCACCCCATATCATTATAGGTGGTTGTGAGCCACCATGTGGTTGCTGGGAATTGAACTCAGGACCTCTGCAAGAGTAGCCAGTGCTCTTAACCACTGAGCCATCTCTCCAGCCTGCCAAATTCTCTTTTAGGGGCTGGGGGATGGTTCTACCAGTAAAGAACTTGTCATAAATGCACAGGCTTGATTTGGATTTCCAGCATTCATGTAAAAGCCTGGCACCACACTGCATGCCCATAATCCCCATACTGAGGAGGCAGAGAAGAGGGAGATCTATGTGATTTGTTCATCAGCTAGTCTAGTCAAAATGGTGAGCACCAGGTTCAGTGAGAAACCCAGTCTCAAAAACCAAGAAGAAGAAATGACCCGTAGCCTCCACATGCATACACACATGTATACACCTGCACAGGAACATGTACACATAAAATTTCTTCTAATGCTCCATAATTAAGATCAAAACTGATAGAAGAACTGTATCTAACATTCACATATAAGGTCCTGGAATTCTGATTTTAAAATCATAAAATATTCTAAACAGAAAGAAATAGGACAAAATAATATTTAAAGTGAATGGTTGGAAATAATTATACAAATATATAGCAATATAAGGTTCATTTACCTTAAGATAATCGTGTCGGTTTCTATGAAGAGAACATGAGGAAGAGACAGCAAGGATTTCTGCCCGGAACTCATTCCCACTCTGCATAAACATTGGCGACGTTGGGGATATTTCAGAGGTGGTCTGCTATATTAAATCATTATGCGACTTAACAAATAGTATTTATCACTACAGATTTCAGACTTTCTAACTCTGCATAACAAATACACATTAGGAAAACTGGCTGTCCAACAAATTCCATCATCTTTTCTGTAATAAATGATCCTATAATCACTGTTCTTCCCCCTCGGGGAGGAAGGTGGAGAAAGCTCTCAGGGTTTGCCTGTCGCCTTTCAGGGACAAATGAATGGACGTAGAGGTGAGATGGTGTGGCGGAAGTGACCTCTGAGAGTCCTTTTTGCACTTTTCCTCTTGTTCTCCCCCCAAAACCCGGACCCGCCTGTAGCTCCCCCTCTTTTGTTTGTTTGCTCCACAGGAAATTATTGCCTGCGCCCTGAATTCATCAGCTCACAGCATGAGTATCATTTCACACAGGCTACATGGTGGGAACTTTATGTTCTTCTCTAGTCTGCTCAGTGCGTCTTAGTTCAAACCCTCAGTTGCTTCAAGGCCTTCTGATTCATCTTAATACTGTTGACAAGAAGTCAGAAGACACAAAGGCCCTCCTGGTGATGGGACACTTCATTCCGACCTTCCTTTGAATTCCTCCAGCTAGATAGATAAACGGCCTTGTAGTTCAAATGGGTTATTCCAATGACTTATCCCTCCTTGGCCCAGTGTTTCTCAATTTTGTCCATGGTCCCACCCACTCCCCTGCCCTCCCTTCCCCACTACAAATTAGGCGTGGTCCCAGTAGAAACAAGTACACATTTAAGAATTTAACAAAAGCTCTACTAGGAAATGGGTCAGGATAGAGAGGCCTCAGGATGAGGTGCTATTCCGGTGGAAACTGGTACTGGAGGAGTAGGGAGAAACAGCAGTCGTTAGGACATAGGAACAGTGAAGACTGTGGGGACAGCCACACAGACTGTGACTCTCATGGAAGCTACCACTGCCTTGCAATCCCGCAAGGCGAGTTGTGAACCCAGTCTTTTCGGAAGATCTGTTCTTCAGATCTCTGTTGGTGCTCCTCTCGGCTGATTCAAAGGTCAAGGGAGCTCTTTGAAGGCCAGGCAGACTCAGAGAAGGATCGGAAAAGGGTCAGTGTGGCTCAAGACGGCAAATGGAAGGTACCCAGCAGGGCTTTTACCAGAAGGCTGAGCGTTACCCTGCCTGCAGACAATCCCTGTCTGCTGATTAACTCGTTGTCCTCGCTTCATGCAAACAGCTCAGACTTAATGTTTGCTGCTGGAAACTGCCACATACAAGGGATGACCTCGTGTCCAGATGCAGCACTGTAACAAGTTTTTACTAATAAAATGTCAGTGGAAGTATGTCACTTCTGGTTACTAGGTCTATATGATGGGTGTGTGTTTCAATGTTCTCTCTTTCTGGCCCATGTGGATATGAGACCTCAAAGACTTATAGGACGGTATACTGTTAGAAGGAAAGATTGGTCCTACCTATCCAAGAGAATGGGAGCTCTTTCCATTTTCTGATACCTTCCTCAATTTCTTTCTTCAGAGACTTAAAGTTCTTGTCGTACAGGTCTTTCACTTCTTTGGTTAGTGTTACTCCAAGATATTTTCTGCTTTTTGTGGCTATTGTGAATGGTGATGTTTCTCTGATTTCTTCCTTAGCCCCTTTATCATTTGTATATGGGATGGCTACTGCTTTTTTTTTTTTTGATGTGGTCTTGTATTCTGCCACTTTACTGAAGATGTTTATCAGGTGTAGGCGTTCCTTCATTGAATTTTGGGGGTCACTTATATAGGCTATTAATATCATCTGCAAATAGTGAAAGTTTGTCTTCTTCCTTTCCAATTTGTATCCCTTTGGTCTTCTTTTATTGTCTTATTGCTCAGCTAAAACTTTGAAAACTATGCTGAATAGATACAGAGAGAGTGGACAACCTTGTCTTGTTCCTGATTTTAGTGGGATCACTTTGAGTTTCTCTCTATTTAATTTGATATTGGCTGTCAGCTTGTTTTATATTGCTTTTATTATGTATAGATATGCTCCTTATATCCCTAATCTCTTCAAGACCTTTTCATGAAGGGGTCTTGGCTTTTGTCAAAGCTTTTTTAGCATCTAATGAGATGATCATATGGTTTTTTTCTTTCAGTTTATTTATATGGTGGATTACACTGATAGATTTTCGTGTGTTGAACTATCTCTGCATCTCTGGGATGAAGCCAACTTGATCATGGTGAATGACTTTTTTGATGTTTTCTTGGATTCAGTTGGCCAGTATTTTATTGAGTGTTTTTGCATCAATGTTCATGAGGGAGATTGGTCTGTAATTCTCTTTCTTAGTTGCATCTTTATGTGGTTTGGGCACCAGGATAACTGTCGCATCATAAAAAGAGTTTGGCAATGTCTTTTCTGTTTCTATTGTGTGGAATCGTTTGGAGTATCCCTAGTCCTTGAACTGGCATCTTGAACCTTGCTCAGTTGAGATATAGGGTAGAGGGCCTTGGTCCTGCCTTGAAGTGAGGTGTCAGACTTTGTTAACTCCCCGTGGGAAGTCTTACCCTTTCTAAGGAGTGGAAGGGTGGGTGGAAGGGTGGGGCAGGAGGAGAGGAGGGAATGTGAACAGGGACAGCTATGCAAAATGAAAAAAGGTTGTATTAAAAGATTCTTATACAAAAAGAAGGAAGAGGAGAAGAAAGAAGAAGAAGAAGAAGACAAAGAAGAAGACAAAGAAGAAGAAGAAGAAGAAGAAGAAGAAGAAGAAGAAGAAGAAGAAGAAGAAGAAGAAGAAGAAGAAGAAGAAGAAGAAGAAAGAGGAGGAGGAAGAGGAGGAGAAGAAGGAGGAGGAGGAGGAGAGGAGGATACTTTTGGGGACATCATGATAAGGAAACAAGAACTTCACAGCAAGAAATAGACTCTGAGGGTTGGCTTAGGAGGTGAAAACATTTGCTGCCTGAGGACCTGAGTTTGATCCGTGGAGCCAATAACCCACAGAAACACATAAACAGCATAATTTCTTTTAGAAAGTTATTAGGAATGT